GGGGGGGGGGGGGGGGGGGTTGATAGGGGTTCGCCGAGTAAGGGATAAGGAAAAAGTCACTCGCGAAAGAGGGTTGCACTCAAGAATGCATGAAGGTGCTCCCTTAGCTTGTAACTATTCGAAACGAGGAACCGTTATGGGCTGGCCGTATCTCATTTACATAGATTTAATTAGAATGGCGAGGAGGTTGGGGCCGGCCGCGGTGCGCGATCACAATAAAATTAATTCGACGCATGCTCGTTCATTTGAATATAAGGTTACCGAGAGTAACCCTGTTAACATTTTCGTAGGATGCTGCTTCGCGATTTTATAAGATTATGTGTTGTCAGTTGCAAACGAGCCGTTTGTAACTTCTGTATCCGTTTGGCAATCGAGTTACGTTACGCTTATTGGTCTGAAACTGAAATTATAACTGAAATTCGAATCGAGTGCTAGTCAAGGAAACTTGAAACTCTGCAACAATGACGAAGAAATTAATGGCATTCGTATTTGTGTTTTCAGAGTCTTGTTTGATCGGCGAGTTTCGGGGGTTTAGGCTGGACCACTCTCACTGTCGGTGAAGAGTTAGATCAAACAGAGAGCGGGAGAGTAAACAGACGGTAATAAATTAGTTGCCGGTTGTTAGAATTATAAGAAAGTAAATAAACAAAAATGAGTTTAAGGATCGATTTGAAGTATTTTTATCGTGTAATTTGGATATTTTTATTTCCCAAACAATTAATGAGGAGAGGATCTGAATTCTTGGAATCCTATTGTCTGCTCACACAGATTCTCTGTCTGTTGTAACCCTACCTGGAATATGCACAGAGAAGACAACCCTTTAATCTTAATAATCTATTATCCTGTCTGGAGGACATTGGGTGAGAATTAGGCTGGTCTCCCTCGTTCCTTAGAGTGATTCTGGTTCAATTATTTTCTGTTATACGATATACAATTTACGATATAGAATATTCGAGAGACAGTGTCTCGCATGAAGGAGAAGCTGAGAATATTTCGCTGATAATGCGATACCGTTGCGAAATTACTTTAGCGTGACATCGAATCATCCCTTGCGAAATACAAGGGATGATGCTCGACGAAGCCCTTTCTCCTATAACCGCGAATTTCATACTTGACTAATTTTCCAAGAATTGCTTTCAAATTTTTCCAAATAATATTAACGAACGGTATAGGTGAGAAATTATCAAAATTTTATCATTTCACAATTGTTGCATGTCTATCATAAAAATTTCAAAGGGTGCTTTTTTATATTCTACAAAGTTACGGAGAAAGCTTATCGAGCGAATCGCATATAGAATTCAAGGAAAGAAACAAGTGTGGAAGGTATTGTATAAGGTGTGTGTAAGTGGCGCCGCGACGCCGGCGTCAATCAGCCAGTGGCACCTACCTCTATCGCACACCTTACTCCTGGCAAGCGCTGTAGTAATTTCTTCATTCAAAGTCTTCGAGGGACGGTAAGTTTTTCCGAATTTACATCAATCTTACACATCCCAAGTTTACATAACGCAATGTTCTGATGCACCGTAAGACAAGAAATTCTTCTTAAATTTGTTCATATCTTATAGAATACAAGAAATTCGCATAAAAGATACAATACTTGAGTGAAAATACAAACTGCGAGTAAAACTAAAATACTAGGATAACTGGGCATTTCTAAAAATCGAGCTACCTCATTATGTCAAGAAAGAAGATGAAAAAATATTTATTATCATATTTCCAACTAAAAATGGTATAGCCTGCGTAATTTAAGTGAACATGTAAAATTTCTAAAGTACATTTACATTTACGTAGCCAAAGGCGTAGCTCTCGTTGCTAGGAAGTGTTTGGTAAGGCGACGAATTGAAGGCCTGATCTATAAAAGCAACCCCGAACGCACAGGTTGTGCCAGGGTGCATCATTCCCGTTTCCCTGCAATCAAGAAAAATCGAATAAATTATAAATTAAAATAACAATGAACATCTGTGCGGGTTCTATTACATACATTTAAGGGATGCTGGAAGTTTCTCGTATGTACGTTACAGTCACGGAGAGAAGCTTGTACTTGGTTAATATGATACTTTGACTAAGGGTGGAGATGGCTGTTATTATTGGTAAGATACAAGACGCAGCCCCTACGTCCTGAATCTTTGCTGCTTCCTGGTTAAGCGTGTTCAACTAGAGGTACATGAAATACAAGGATTCAATGGATACAACGGAAATTAGTGGCATAACAAGCCACTCGATACTCCAAGTGGATGGTTCCGTACTTGCTCCATCGATTTTGGCCCACGTGAATTTCCAAGAGCGAAAGTTACCATGGCGAACTTGAGATGCTTAGACGGAATTACTACCGATAATAGACCCAGAATCATCCTCGAATTACACGCTTTTCTTCATCTCATGAAAATCGGGAGGATTCAGTCGAGAGCTTGATATTCCTCAGTGGGATATACGAGGAGATTTTTGAGGGAGAATTTTATTTATAATGACATAAAATCAGAGTCTCGTATAACAACGTAAAAAGTTGTTTATTTTATAAATATTTTATGCATCCATGCAGTCGTGTTATTTAGTGCGGAATAAGTGCTGAATAAAAATCAGTGCTAAATATTTCTACAGCAAGAATTCATTTAATACTCAGCATCGACGTACCGAGCTCTGATGACACTTTAGCCACTTCACTTTATTGACTCTTCGTCCCTTAAGAACCAATCAAAACGCAATTGATACTCAGACCCTTCCACGTCAAATAAGAAACTCGAAGCCAGTATATCTCCTGGAGTAAGAAACTTCCTTGTAGAAAATTCCGGAAAAAAATATATTAAAAAAAATCCTACAATAATCACAACCCAACGAAAGGAATAATTTGTAATAAATAAAATTACGATATTTACAATCGATAAAAAAATCGTCATAAGGATTACACGACGTCGATGACCAGACAAGTAGACCGACGTCCGCTTTGCGATTGGCCATAGTTCGCAGGAGACACGACGTTTCTCTTCTGGTCTTTACGTCTGAGCGTCGTAGCGATATGAAAAAAATCGAGTATGCCACATAAGAGAGTCTCGAAGTGCTCGAGGGGGTGGAAAGGCAGAAGAGCGAAGTTCCAGTCAGCCAAGTCAGCAGGATCGGAGATTGACGAAGTCGTCGGGTATTGAAGTGGCTGGAAAAGCTGGAGGAATAGAATAGAATCCGAACGGAAGAATGAACGAAGGAATGGGCGTGAGTACCGAGGATTCGGGGAATGAAGGAACGAAGGAAAGGACCAAGATAATATCTGAATATTGAGGCACTAAGCGAGGACTGTCGCGCTCGTAAAGCACGCTGATATGAATGCGGATGGCTCAATTTTCCACGCCTCGCGATGCTTACAGAAACGCTTATCGGTTTAGGCATGGCTGCCCGTACCTGGCATACATCACTTTTACTTTCCTTTGTCGAGAACTCATTTTACCTATATATTCTATACCAACGGGATATGACAGATAGACTAGGTATCGATTCTTATAAGCGAATAATATATTGGTCAGATTATTGATAAGGAATTATGTGTGTTTTATATAGAAAGTCAAAATGTCGGAGACTGAGCGCAGCAGCGAGAGCATCGCCATGGAGAGATCAGTGAGCGAGGCTAGCGAGGTGATAGCCACTCATTGCGATCAGGAGAGCGAGAAGCTGGAGGAATTTGAGAAATTGTTCCAGGCCATGATGGAGTCCAGGTGTCCTTCGGCAGACGACGATGAAGACGCCTTTGATAAAAAGGACGAAGGTACTGAACGTGCTTGTAGTTTGTCAGTTATAGGTTTTTTTTCTTTTTACATTTTTCAGTACAGCTCATTGTCAGTAGCGTTATAAACATTTAATGTAGAACTTTGTTGTTGGCTTGAAAATATGTCAGACCAACTTTCTAACGGGCTGCGCATATCGTTGTGTATTTCGAGGAGGGTTTATCAAGTGGCCAAGGTCGAGTCGAGGTTCTCTGAGGTTCCCCGAGGTTCCCTGAGATTCCTGAGGTTCGCCATGGCTGTTAATTATCGGAGTTTTTCGCAGTTAGTTGTCGAGGGGTTCGCGCTTTTGGCCAGCAACGAGTAGCAAGCGGTAAGCTGCTAACCGGAGCCTAGGAAAGGTAAAAACAGGATTATCAACCGTATGTATACAGGGTTATTCACGACAAACGCACCACTTCAAGTCAGCTTGTCCATTTGATTTGTATGGTAGAGCCACCTTCAGGTGGTGAGTTTATCCTGAATAATCCTATATACCTAACCTTGGTTACCTAACCTATCCTTGAAAATCTGGGAGACCTCAGTGCTTTTCTTTTCACTCTTCCACTTTCTCTCCCTCCTTTTTACTCACTTTCTATATACTTGAATCTATCTGTCCTTCTTATACCTCGCTAGTCTCACATTCACTGAACGCTCCCTGATTTTACTCTGGAATATTACAAAGCCCAGCAGCTAACCTGTTGAGAGTTGAGAGGTCCTCGAGAGAGGAAAAATGCAGGAGAGAGGAGCCAGGGGGGGTGGAGGGGGGCTTGCGGGCTTAACTTGGGGCAAATTTTCCAGACGCTCAGACGCCCCGACGTCCCGACGGCTCCGCGCCCCAACCCGAGTATTAACAGGGAAAGTGGCTGAAGCGGCGCGAGGATATTTTCATAGTTACAGGATTAAGTTCTTCGCTGACGACCGTTGGGGGTGTCGGAGGTCACGCAAGATCAAGATAAGGATCATCCGAAATTGAGGAGCAAAGTAGTGTTTGCACTGTTGTCTAATTTTATTTGTACTCTCTAAGCGTTGTAATTTTGGAGCTTGAAAATTGTCTGGTGGTAAATTCAAAATGAGCTGCCGAGTCTTCTTGTTACAAATATTTACATAAAAAATTTCCCTGCTAAACGTACGTGTCCGAGAGGGGTGACTTTTTCGCTTGCTTATCACATGGATTTTGGCACTGTTCGTTACCCTGGGACTTTTCTCCGAAAAAGATTAACCGGCTTTGAACAAGCACTAATGATTTCCGTGGAGGATGTCAACTGACGAAAACCTAATTCCCTTGCGGTCGCGAGAGCGTGGGAATTAACTTTATTAGCCGGATAAAAATTATCCTTTACGTGGAAGCTGACTGCCCTGTTTTGCCCTTTTGGACGCCCCTGGAATTGCCAATTGAACGTAAAGGGCGAAAAATTAATTGGACCATTCTCGCACGCCCCGAGGGTTCCAACTTAGCAAAGAGACGTGAGTCCTTTAGCTTTTCGAAGGCGTATTAGTAAATAAGACTCGCTACCTTTTGAAGAATCCTCTAGCTCCTCCACGACGACATGATGCAAAAATACAAATTTACCATTGAAAAACAGTATTACTTATTCGTATATGTAAAGAGTACGGTATAAAAGATTGTTTCAATTTACTTTCGTATATCTATAGGTTAAACCAACTGCCAGCTGACAATTAATGTACGTAACTAGTAGCTGTACCAATCCTCCAGTTCCATTCGCATAACACAGACGCGGCTAAACTATAGCGCAGCTGTTGCCAGATCAGCTCGAGTTTCTCGACGGAATCCAACTTGCCTAAGCATCTCCTAAATTTCGCGGAGAACCAAAACTAGAATATTCAGAAGCGCGGAGCCGCCTGCTTCTAAATTAAACTCATAAAATGCCCGGAAACCGCAAAGTGCGCGACGACTATTTAGCCTTAGCGGTAGGCATTTGGCAAGTACGAGACCTCTAGTCTTCAGCAAGGCAGGTGTACCTACACCTACCTCTACCCTGACTGCACTGCCGTTGCCAGGCCTGCCTGACGTAGCTGGCGCGGTTGGCCAGGTCATAATTAAAATAATAAATTCTCACTCACCCAGGGACATTTTATACTAATTTACTATACTACATTATTACTCCTATCCCGTTGCTATACCAACTGCTACTAAACGCTACCTATAGTGGTACTAACCACTGTTTCCCATATTAAGCAACGTACTCTGACCCTGGTGAATGATACCCTGAATTATTAATACGAGGATCGCATAGCTGGGGTCATAGAAGAAATTGCGAAATTCTTTTAAAATTCGCATTCTGATTTATTAGTGAACCATATTTGTTTTGATTAAGAAAAAATTTGTTTGTTCCAATGTTTCTCTTGCTCTCTCGGTTGCACTTTCCTGGGGACGTACAATTTCAAGGAATTCATTTAAAATACATGCCTCCGCAGGAGTGCATAGCTACTGCGTATGAAACGTGCCTGATGTAACTTGGCTTCTCAGGTTTTCTTCTCGCTTTTGAACAGGGAGGTAAAATTACATTCCCAATCCCCGGGTATAACACGTATTATGCATTCGTCGTTCGTACACACATTTTCCATGGGTTTTCTCGAGTTTCCACGAGGGCTGAAAACGCGTCCACGAGCATATAGGAGTTACCGTACATACCACCTATGTTACTTATGAGGGAAATCGCCTAGGACGCAATATGTGATTTGAGATTAGCATAATACCCCTACGCCACATAAAGTAGCTGCCATCCTTTCTCAGCTTTCTCCCCCTTTCCACACTCTCGTGCTTCTCTTTCATCTCTTTCATCTCTCTCCTTCTCCCCATTCTTGACAGTCGAGCTGGGATTTAACCAGCAAACTGAGTTCAGCCACTTTCAGGTGGGACGGCGTTGCTACATTTCGATTAGCTTGGAAATAGAAAAGGGATGAAATAGAGTGTGAAAAGATTTTTTGAATGCAACTGAAAGATCGCTAAATCATTTTCCTTGATTTTACAAAAATTTTCTCAAACCCTCAGAAAGTTTTCATCCTGGACTCGGTGCAAGCTCAAACTTTTAGATACTACTTTTTACCTTTTTCCCCTCCCACGTCATGCCGATGTCATGTGCTCTCTCTCTCTCTCTCTCGTTCTCTATTGTAATTGTATATTATATAAGTATTGCATTACTAGTAATAGTTGCCTATATACCTTGCAATGTTTAACTTTGTTATATTCCTGTCATATAACATTATACTGCTATTGCTTTGCCCCAGAGCTCTGAATAGGGCATAAATAAAGCGCATCAATCTCTCTCCTTCTCTCTTCCTCTCATATTCCCTCTCTGCGCCAAGGAAAGTTTGAAAAGCGCAGGGTGAGCTTAGGTGCTCGCGGAAGGCCGCCATGAAAAATGACGTCAAGTTCAAAAGCCCCTAAATAAGAAATCACTCCTGAAGGTGCAGCTAACATTATTCACTGTGCGCGACTCCAAACGAAAATGGTGGCGCGAAGTCGCATAGCCGCAGGAGCCTGGCTCATCAATTTCCACGTCATTCTTTACAAAATATACCGAAAGGCTTCCTACGCAAAGAATCTAGAAATCCTCGAGGCGCTACTGTGATTTTCCCAGGGCTTCGCCGCTGTCGCTGTCACCATACCGAGGTTTCAGCTGGATATCGTATTTAGGGTGAAAAGACAAACGCGACAAGAGATGAGAAAATCGAATAACGTGGCCCACGTGCGTATGCCTGCCACACACATGGTGTCGATAGTCATATGTGCGATGTACATCAGTGTTCACGGGTCATCAAAGATAGTCAAAATTTTTCTTCTCGCCGCTCTGAATAAATCGATGGGTAATTCGCATTTCCTTTATTATTATTTTTAACGCGTGCAGCTATTTTTTACATTATCGAATCGTTTCTTTGCCCGGCGTCCAGAAGGCGTAATGCTTTCCACAATCTTTAGAAATACTTTTACCCTTCGTTATAACTTTTTCACGTTGCCACCTTACGGGAGAGTCTGATAATTCTTATCTTGCTATATGGCGCAAGAGAAATAGCGAGAATGAGGCAGAGAGAGAGAGAGAGAGAAAGTCTTTATTAAGCCAGACTGCGGGGAAGTCCTCTCGTTACAAAGTTCACGGTTCTATCTGCGTAGTACCTATTGTGACTCTCTAATCCGTGTGTATTAGAATTCAAGGGTGGCCGAGGAAGGGTAACACAGGGACTGCCTGGGGATAAGTTGGAGAATCAAGAGAGTGGAGGCAGAAGAAGAGAGGAAGAAAGAAAAAAAAAGTTAAAGGAACCGTAGCGGGGAAATACGTCCCAGTAGGCTCCCCTGGCGAAAGCGAGTGCGAAACCTGAAACGTGAAATGCGAAGGGTCATCCCTTTCCATAATTCGTCAAGGGGATGATTTTTCCCAAATGAAAAGTATGCTCTGGCTTTGGATCTTAGCCTTTGTGGGAGGAAACTCAAGGGTGGATTAGACTGATGAAAGAAAACCAAACTCCCCAGTCATACTATGTACATATATAGTATATAGGTGCTCCTCCCAGCATCCCCTCTTTTTGCTACGCATCACGTCAAATATTGACCAAGGGAGCGAGTTATCAAAATATTATTTACTACGTGAAAAGATTAAATTGATTTGATGCACTATCCGACCGGAATCTCGTGCTAGCTTTGCTATCGACAGCGCCATTGTTGTCCTAACGTCAATCCTACGAGTGATCTTGCACAGCATCCTGGACCCTCCCGTTGTGACCTTCCGGATGAACGAGAAAAAAAATCACCAAATTCAATGGCAGATCCCTCGGAGATCGATTAATTCCATCAGGATCCATTCGAAAAGTAGATTGACGTATCTTTCATGGATTAAATTCACTTTTTTTTTTATCTTCTTCTATTTAATCAACTAATCGGAAAGGCTTTGCGAAAAAATACTAAGGGAAAAAACGGAGTGCCACGTGCAGAACATAACTGTACGTTAATATTGATTTGGCTGGATGGCAAGTTAATAAGAACATAACGAATCTAATATCTCGTGACGTAATTCGACCCCTACCGTAAATAGGCCGGTAGTGCACGGTACGGGGTGACATTTCGACCTATGTCGCTACCCCTCGACCAAAAGCTAGTTAGTCCACTGCTAGGTAGTTTACCTACCTTGACTCTAGATATCCTCGGACTTCGCTATCTGACAGTAGCTGTCTAGTTTGACACTTTTTTTTTTTATATTTTACAACCAAGTGATTTTACGGAATATTATACAAATTTTTAAGTGGTTCGTGCTGGTAAGAACATTTTTTTGGAGATAAATAACATTTTTTGTCCCGGTATGTATTTTTTAATTATTTCGAAATGATATCGGAACGATCGTTAAGAAGGAAAGCGAAATCGTGACTGGGAGAATTTCAGTCCATCTGCATCGAAATGCATCGCGTGCAACGTCATTGTCTCGAAAGGATAACCTGCGCATCTCGTGACAATTGAACTGGAAACAGTTGCGAACGAATCGTTGCACTCTGTGCAGTGCTGTGCCTGGCGGCTAATTATTGTTTATTGGGATCGATAAAGAAATTATTATTTTTTATACGTATATAAAAAACTTTAATTTTTACGGTTCTTTCTACGTGGTTATAAGGCATGGCGGGTCCCGAGGCACCGGTTGACTATCGTCTCGAGCATATTGGAGCTTTCGTTCAAAAATCATTGAAGTTAAAACCCGAAAAATGGAGTCGTCTCCTATTCACGGAAGAGCATCGGAATACAGTTTTGGATTTTTTGGATAATCCAACTCCAGCTGCACTCTTCGTCGTCCTCACGCCGAACGCACAGCTCATTGCGTCTTCGGGATTCCCGATTCTGTGTCAGAGAACGAAAGGTACGAATGCCAATATTTTGTGCAATCTTGAGCAAAGTTTTAGGATTTTGTTATCTTTGTTATTGTACGTTTTAACGATGGTTCATGATACTGCCAAGGTACTTACGCTGTCAAAGTGAACATGGCGGCTGTCCCAAAGGACAAAGACGGCTGTTCGGCTATGCTAATAATGGGCGACTTGTCACATAGGGTTGTCGACGAGTTGGCAACATTGGTCGACAATATTTTTGCTCCCTTACTTAGCAAGCCTGAGAATCATATGAAACTACCGGAAGTTGCCGTGCAGGATATATGCAGACACGTCCATTCGCTTAGAGGAACCCTGTACCAAGTACGAATGTCATCTGGAAGATTTGTGTCTGTAAAAAAAATTTCAAAATAAAAATAACGAAAAAATTAATATACAGGTGAAAGGTCAAGTAAACGGAAGAACGGTGCTCCCAATGCCAGCTGGATTGGAAAAAATTGGAGAGGTCGAGAGATTGGTATCCACGGAAGGACCCCAGGCAGTGGATTTGTATTTGAAAAGTGCGATCGAAGGTGTCATCATAAAATGGGCTTATCTCGTGAACGACGTAGTCACTCGCGAGTCCAGCACTGCTTTTGAAAATGGTCAAAATCCAACGCCGAATGTGGAATTGGAGTATTGGTCGACGAGATTGGCCAATTTGAGGTATGAAAAAAGAAGGATTCGAAAATCGAAATAATCGATTGAAATGGCCACATTTTTTCAGGTATATTTTTGATCAATTGAGGGAAGATCGAGTAAGGAAAATGGCGATAATACTTGAGAAAACTGACAGCGCTTATTATCCGTGCTTTCGTACGCTTTTTGGCAATGTCGTGTCTTCCTTGGCTGAGGCCAAGGAGATATCCCTGTATCTGACACCCTTAACGAGGAACTTCAAAGCTATCGAGGAAATTGACTTTTCCGAAGCGAAACCCCTAATGGCGCCTCTGATACACTGCATTGGATTAGCTTGGGCGAAGTCTCGCTACTACCAAAGTTCCTCAAAGCTGATCATTATGCTCAGGCAAATATCCAACCTGTTGATACAGGAGGCACGAAGATTCTTAGATCCGACTTCGATATTCCAGAGTGACGTGGACGAGGCCCTTCAACGCGTTCAAATTTCCCGCGGTAGGTCCGAGGTGCACGTGCGTTCGCAGACAGAATCACTGTCTTTCGATATATCGATCCGATCGGCTATCGAAAGTTCGATTTGCACTTTACAGGAATCCTGGAAGAGTTCAAACGTCAATTTGAACACAGAAGACAGATGCCAGGATTGAAACCGGAAGCGCCGCCCTGGACCTTCAATCCATCTGCAGTATTTCAACGCCTCGATGCATTTTTGAAACGACTGGCCGACATCGAGTGGTTGTTCGATACCGTTTTGGAATTTTCAAAATTAGAAAAAATCGAAGTCGGCGGAATTCTAGGTCGCTCTTTGAGTGCTAGGATCGTTGGAGTTTTCAAAGAATTTCAACAACTTTTCGCATCCTTTTCCGCCAGGGCGAGCGACGTGCTGGAACCGGATGATCAATCCTTTGCTCTGGACTGTGCCAAGTTCAGCGAATCGATAACCGATCTTGATAGTAAATTAGCCGCTATTCTATGTCAGGCCTTTGACGACTGTGGCAATTTAGAAAGCACCTTTAAGGTACGATCAATCAATACAAATCACGAGAGTTACAGACCCACAAGAAAGTTTCGTTAATTTTCAGCTGATAAATATAGCAGGCACCGTACTGGACCGACCGGTAATTCGAAAACAATTCACCAACCGTTACTCTCGCATCCTGGAATTGCTGAATAACGAGTTGACGATGGTCGAAGTGCTGTTTAATCGCGGCACTCGTGGGGCGCTAAGTGACCTTCCACCTTTAGCGGCTACCTTGCGATTTACGAGCATGCTGAGGCAGCGAATCGATCTTCCCATGCAGTGCTTTAAAGCACTCCAGCATCCGTAAGTATGGAAGGAATCACTATTCGTACAGATGTGAAATAAATCGGCAGTGAGAAGTTTGTAGTAAAATTTTAGAAAAGTATTCTTCGTTTTTTTCTCCGTAGAATCGTCGAGAGTAACGACGGGCAGATTATAATAAAGCGTTACGAGAGGTTAACAAATATTTTATTTTGTCACGAGAAAAATGTCTTTGCCGAATGGACCAAAGTGGTACCACAGTTCGTTGCCGATGGCTTGAATCGTTCCTTATTGATCAGAGACGCCGATTCTGTGCTACTATTGAATTTCGATGCAGAATTATTCGCAGTGCTCAAAGAAGTGAATTATTTGAAGCAAATGTCACACGATGCTGTACCAAATGAAGCTCTGAAAGTTTTCGAATGCGCTGAGACGTTTCGAAAATTTCGTATACTCTTGGGAGCCACTGTGAATTCGTATAACAATATACGAAGGACTTCAACGAAGGTTGAGTTCAACTTGATAGAATTGGAAGTGGCCAGGATAGACTCTTTGGTATCGCGTGGGGAGGATGAACTGTGTTGGAAGTCCGATGGTCTCCTGGAATACATAACGGAACTGGGTGTCCTGGTGGAAGGGTTATGGAATCGAATAAAATCGACTCAAGGGAACGTTGACAAGATAAGGACGATCTTGGAGCCATGGACCAGGACGCCATTGATTGAGCGCAAGGATCGACGTAAGGATGCGCTTCTGTCGCTGGACGAAAGAGCTGAGAAGGTCTCGCGACGTTATGCTGAGATAAAGAAAGCGGCGGAGCAGATTCATTTGTTACTGGCCGAGAACAAGGGTCTATTTGAAATTGGGGATAATAAAGGAAACAGCTGGGAGGACTACGTCGAGTACGTCGATGGTATCGTGGCTGAATCCTTACGTCGAGCAGTCGGATGCTGCTTGGGTTATTTGGCAGATAATATGGACCCTTTGGGGCACAAGCAACCTTTATTGGAAGCAAAATTGGAATTGCGCGAACCGGACTTATTTTACGTGCCGTCCTTGGAGCCGGACGATCCCGAAGGATTGGATCAATTGATCATGGGGCTGCTCAATGATATGATCGGAATGGCTGCTCTCGTTGATCGACTCAAAGCGGGTTCTGAGGGATACGTGGATGAGCTCTTGCAAGATGAAGATATCAAGGCGATGAAATCCGAAATTTTATCAAGCGTCTCGACAGCTGTGGAAGAGGCTACAGATTTTTGTGGAGTTTTTGAAGGTATGTCCAAGACTCAAAAAAAGGGGCTACCAGTAATTTTTTTCTCGAAATTCATAACCCAAAAAATATTTGCATCTCTCAGGGTACGCTTATCTCTGGCTCGAGGACAGGGAGATAATAATGCAGCAATTCTTGGAATACAGCAGACAGCTGAATCTCGAGGAAATGGAAATGATAGCTGTTCTGGATCCGAAGGCACCGAAACCATCGCCCCCTAGAATGGAGCAATTTCGAGAACAAATAGACCTTTACGAAGGGCTCTATCAGGAAATAGAAGAAATGGATATCTCCAAGGTCTTCTGTGGTTGGTTTCGAGTCGATCTGAGACCTTTTAGACAATCTCTATTAAACACAGTCTGCAAGTGGTCCAGCATGTTCAAGAGACACCTGGTAGAGCGTGTGACAACCAGTCTCTCAGATTTAAGTTCCTTCATCAGGTATCTGCTTGGTTTAGTAATTCTCATGAGACGCGGGCTGCTTCATCGTAAAATATTATTGACCAGGTTAGCCGACGAGGGACTCCTTCAGCAGGTACAACCTGGGGACTACGCAGGACTGGTCAGCGTGATGGGATACCTGATGCAGGTGAAGGAAAGGCAACCGACGACTGACGAGATGTTTCAGCCTCTGCAAGAGACCATCGAACTATTAAAATTCTACGACCAGGACATACCTGAGGAGGTAAACGTCCTGCTCCAGGAATTACCTGAGCAGTGGGGCAATACCAAAAAATTGGCACTTATGGTGAAGCAACAAGTGGCGCCCCTACAGGCTGGCGAGTACAGGATTCAGTATCAATAGGGGTTAAACTAAATATTGAAACCCTAATAAGAAAATGTCCTGCAGGTGAAGTTTCCAGAATCCGCGGACGCATTTCGGCATTCGACACAACGATTGGACATTACAGAGAGGCCTTCAGGCGTTATGGTTTCTTCAAATACAATTGCGAAAAACCTTACGAGCAGCTGGACGAGGCCGACAAGGAGATTTGCATGTTAGAACGTCAGATGAAGGACATCCAGGAGTCAGCATCGCTGTTCGAGGTTACGGTACCGGAGTTCAAGCAGCTGAAGCAGTGCCGGAGGGAATTGAAGATGCTGAAGCAGCTCTGGGATTACGTGAACATAGTTCAAAGTAGTATAGAGGGCTGGAAGACGACACCCTGGAGAAAGATTGACGTGGAGAATATGGATATCGAGTGCAAAAAATTCGCCAAAGAGATAAGAGGTAAAATCAAATAATAAAATGATAAGGATATGTGATTTTTTTTCACAAAAATACCAAATTCTTTTTCATATCAATTATATCTTCTTCTCGTCTCTTATCTTCGTTGATCATTTCTCTTTTTCACTTTTCATCTCGTCGCCGCTTACGTTGCAGCTCTTGATAAAGAGATGAGATCTTGGGATACTTACGTGTCGCTCGAAGCCACTGTGAAAAACATGTTGACGTCTCTGCGCGCTGTTGGCGAATTGCAAAATCCAGCAATTCGGGAACGACATTGGCGTCAGCTTATGAACAGCACCAAGGTACCTGTGGGTGTTGCGTAACCGCACTACGCCATTTTCATTATTTATCGTGTACTTTCTCAATTTAATGATAAGCAGTCGGCGTTCTTTTAAAGTGTAGGAAATAATTTGTTCTTTTTTTTTAATTCCTTAAAACGTCAAAGTCTCGTTACTGATTTTCATTTAATACGTCGTGATTGATCGATGTCAAAGTCAATCACGTATTAGACTTAGTCGCACCGCTGTACATAGGCTATCGGTGTTACAGAAATTGGGCAACATGACACCAGAAATGACCGTAAGTCCACTGTACATAAAGAGCACGTGATCATTAAAAATTAGATAGAATTTGTTATCATTCACCAAGGATCGTAATTCAGCACGTTATACTCTGTCCATCTTGTCACGATATTACAGGATCAATTAATTTTATTAAAGTACATTCTTTTATTGTACGATTCACTAAGGCATATGCAATACTTTACGGCAAAATAATTGCAAATACATACAGGTAATTATGATTAATACAGTTTTATTGACTGATAGCGTTAATCAAGGTGAAGTAATTGAGCAATCATAACAATCATTGTCATAATCATCGTTATCGTCACTCATAATCATTGTACATATCGTCAAGCTTTTTATGAATAAATTTTCATTAAACCTGAAATCTCGTTTTTTTTTATGTATTTATCACTTCCATTTCATCCATATTTTTTACATTGCAAATTAGCACCTTTGTATATATATATATATATTTCTAGTTCTTAATCTTAGCACTTGATAACAGGTACTAGAGAAATGATAATCACATTATATTTAATATATAATTTTGCACTGTCTTCTTCGAGATGAAAAATGGGTTCGAATTAAACGAATAACAAAACTCAGGTACGTTTCGTCATGGACGAGTCTACGACTCTGGCGGATCTTCTCGAGTTGAGTCTTCACGAGTGCGAGGAGGAAGTTAAGAACATAGTGGACAAAGCAGTTAAGGAAATGTCCATGGAGAAATACTTGAGAGAACTTAACGTAACGTGGTCGGGAATGGAATTCGAAAAAGAGATCCACCCTAGAACAGGTGCCAGTCTGCTGAGAGCCAGCGAGGAGTTGATCGAGACTCTGGAGGAGAACCAGGTGCTGCAGTTTTTTTTTTAGTTCGTCAACACGAAAGAGGCGTCGCCGTGCGTCTTTATCGTCAATTTTTTTGTCCCTGATTTAGGTGCAATTGCAAAACCTTATCACCTCGAAATTCATTGCGCACTTTCTCGAGGAAGTGTCGGCTTGGCAGAAAAAATTGAGCATTGCCGATCAAGTGACGACAGTTTGGTTCGAAGTGCAGCGGACCTGGATGCACCTTGAAAGCATCTTCATGTCCTCCGAGGACATAAGAAGACAACTTCCGGTCGATTCAGAACGTTTCGACAGGATAGACGGGGAGTTTAAAAAGATGATGGAGGACATGGCAAAGACGCCGAACGTCATTCAGGCTACCAACAGGGAGGGTCTCGGTGCGGCTTTGGACCAACTGCAAAAGGAATTAGTGCTTTGCGAAAAAGCTCTGGCGGAATATTTGGAAACGAAGCGTCTCGCGTTTCCTAGATTCTACTTCGTATCGTCAAGCGACTTGTTGGACGTTCTCTCAAATGGAAATCAGCCGGAAGTCGTAGCGAAGCACTTGATTAAACTTTTCGATTCAATGGCGAAATTAAAATTCGCCAATGTTGAAGACAATGCACCGCGACGTGTACTTGGTAAGACCAATTGGAATCGCGGCTGCTTCAATTTTCTAATGTCCTCCTGAATTTCTCAAGGGATGCACGCGAAAGATGGCGAATACGTAGAATTCACGAATTGCGAAATGATCTGCGAAGGTCCGGTAGAAGTTTGGCTGAATCGTCTTCAGAACGCAATGAGAGCCACGATAAGACATTACTTCAGCGAAGCTGTAGTAGCCTACGAGGAGAAGCCACGGGAACAGTGGCTCTTTGATTATCCAGCTCAGGTCTCTTTGTGCGGCACACAAATATGGTGGACCACCGAAGTCAATTTGGCATTTGCAAGACTGGAAGAGGGATACGACAATGCCATAAAGGATTACTTGAAAAAGCAAATTTCTCAATTAAGCACACTGATAAGTCTATTATTAGGAGAATTGACGAAGCAAGATAGACAGAAGATCATGACTATTTGTACCATCGACGTTCACTCGAGAGACGTGGTAGCCAAATTGGTCCAGGCCAAAGTGGAGACTGCTCAGGCCTTTCAGTGGCAAAGTCAGCTTCGACATCGTTGGGATGAAAAGGAGAAGGATTGCTTTGCGAATATTTGCGACGCGCAGTTCAAATATTCCCACGAATATTTAGGAAACACGCCTAGGTACGATTTTGTAATTGATGATTAGTTAATTAGTTGAAAATTCACCCAGCAAACTGATACTAGTAATTTTTTAGGTTAGTCATAACGCCACTGACTGACAGATGCTACATCACTTTGACGCAGTCGCTTCATCTTGTTATGGGTGGAGGTCCTGCTGGACCGGCCGGAACCGGAAAGACCGAAACGACCAAGGACCTTGGTCGTGCACTCGGTATCATGGTCTACGTGTTTAATTGCTCGGAGCAAATGGATTACAAGTCCTGTGGGAATATATATAAGGGTTTGGCACAGACCGGAGCTTGGGGATGCTTCGATGAGTTCAATCGCATTTCCGTCGAAGTACTCTCCGTCGTTGCCGTTCAGGTAAAGTCCGTTCAGGACGCCATAAGGGATAAGAAGGAGAAATTTAATTTTATGGGGGAAACCATAGCACTGGTACCAACGGTGGGAATATTTATCACCATGAATCCCGGATATGCTGGTCGTACGGAATTGCCCGAAAATCTTAAGGCTCTGTTCAGGCCATGCGCCATGGTTGTTCCTGACTTTGAATTGATCTGCGAAATTATGCTGGTTGCCGAAGGATTTCAGGAAGCCAGGATCTTGGCGAGAAAGTTTATAACCTTGTACACTCTCTGCAAGGAACTCCTTTCTAAGCAAGATCATTACGACTGGGGTCTCAGAGCCATAAAGTCTGTTTTGGTCGTCGCTGGTAGCTTGAAGCGTGGCGACCCTGGAAGACCGGAGGAGGAAGTGCTGATGAGGGCTTTGAGAGACTTTAACATTCCAAAAGTTGTGTCGGATGATCTACCAGTTTTTATGGGTCTGATAGCTGATCTGTTTCCAGCTTTGGATGTTCCGCGGAAGCGGGACGTCGAATTTGAAAAAACTGTCAAACAGGCAGCAGCTGATTTGCTTCTTCAACCGGAAGATGGCTTCATTCTGAAAGTGGTACAACTGGAGGAACTTCTGGAAGTTCGACATTCCGTTTTCATAGTTGGTACCGCTGGTTCCGGTAAGACGCAAGTTTGGAAGAGTCTCTTCAGGACCTATCAGAACATCAAGAGGAAGCCAATCTACAATGATCTCAATCCGAAAGCCGTGACCAATGACGAATTATTTGGAATCATTAATCCAGCGACCCGTGAATGGAAAGACGGTTTGTTTTCGGTGATCATGAGGGAACAGGCCAATCTAGGTGGGGAGAATCCAAAATGGATCGTTCTTGATGGTGACATAGATCCAATGTGGATCGAATCTTTGAATACTGTAATGGATGACAATAAGGTTTTGACTCTGGCAAGTAACGAGAGAATTGCATTGACGCCAGCAATGAGATTGCTTTTTGAAATTTCAAATTTGAGAACTGCCACACCAGCGACGGTGTCCAGAGCAGGTATACTGTATATCAATCCTCAGGATCTCGGATGGAATCCCTACGTTACAAGTTGGGTGGAAACGCGAACGTCGCAAAGTGAAAAATCAAATTTGGTTATACTTTTCGACAAGTACATACCGTCGTGTTTGGAAACTTTAAGAACGAGATTTAAGAAGATAACACCAATAGCTGATATGGCACACGTGCAAATGTTATGTCATCTTCTGCATTGTTTACTAAAGACTGAATTGACAGCTACAGACTTTTCAAAAGACCATTACGAATTGTATTTCGTGTTTGCTGCTGTTTGGGCCTTTGGTTCTTCCATGTTTCAAGATCAAACTGTCGATTACAGAATTGAATTTACAAAATGGTGGGTCAACGAGTTCAAGCAAATCAAATTTCCAGCCCAAGGAACTGTTTTTGATTATTTCATTGATTCCGAAACCAAAGAATTTGTACCTTGGACTGATCGATTACCGAAATTTGAATTGGATCCGGATATGCCGTTACAGGCTGCTCTGGTTTACACAGCCGAATCGATTCGTATAAGATACTTCATCGATTTATTAATGACAGAGAAGCATCCAGTGATGCTGGTTGGTACAGCAGGCAGTGGCAAGACTGTTTTGGTAAACGACAAGTTATTACAATTTTCGGAAAATTACGCAGTAACCAACGTGCCATTCAATTTCTACACGACCTCGGAAATGCTTCAAAAAATTTTAGAAAAACCCTTGGAAAAGAAAGCAGGCAGAAATTACGGTCCTCCGGGAAACAAGACTTTGATCTACTTCATTGACGACATGAATATGCCCGAAGTAGATACGTACGGTACTGTCCAGCCACATACTCTTATCAGGCAGCATCTGGATTATGGTCACTGGTACGACAGGACCAAATTAATCCTCAAGGACATTCACAACTGTCAGTACGTCTCCTGCATGAATCCAACAGCAGGATCGTTTACGATCAATCCAAGATTGCAAAGACACTTTGCCGTCTTTGCCGTGAGTTTTCCCAACGCCGAATCCTTGACGACAATTTACGCCTCCATTTTATCTCAGCATTTGGCCAACGTCGAGCACAGGTAATAGCCTGAATTTCCATATCCTATATTTTTACTAGAAAAAGAATTTGGCTTCATTATAAAATTTCATTTAGATTTCCACTGTGCGTTACCGAATTGTGCAACAACATAGTGCAGGCGTCGCTGCAGTTGCATCACAGATGCGCCCAAGTCTTTCTACCAACAGCCTTAAAGTTTCATTACATCTTCAATCTTCGCGACCTTTCAAACTGCTTCCAAGGGTTGTTATTCAGTGGAAACGAATGCCTGCAATTCGGTGTCGACATCATAAGGTTGTGGATGCACGAGACGCATCGTGTCTACGGGGACAAATTAACAGACGAGAAAGATATAGAGATGTTTTCCAAGTTCCAATTGGACATTTTGAAAAAGAATGTAGAGGAGATCGACGAGGGTGCCATCTTGGAGAAACCAAATATTTATTGTCACTTTGCAGGCGAGTTATCATTTATGCCTATAGCACGTATCAATTTCAATTGCATATACTTATGTGCAATATTTGTATGCACTCGTGCAGGCGGCGTTGGGGAACCAAAATATATGCCAGTCAAGGATTGGACCACGTTGCATCGTTTACTATCGGAAGCATTGATCAGCTACAACGACTTGGTCTCAGCCATGAATTTGGTTCTATTCGAGGACGCCATGATGCACGTGTGTCGAATAAATAGGATTCTTGAGTCTCCGAGAGGAAGTGCCTTGCTGGTTGGAGTCGGGGGTTCAGGAAAGCAGAGTCTGTCTAGGTTGGCAGCTTTTATAAGCAGCCTTGAAGTATTTCAGGTACAATTGAAGAAAGGATATGGCGTCTTGGATCTCAGGATGGAATTGGCTGCATTGTATACTAAATCCGGCCTTAAGAATATTGGAATTATGTTCCTTATGACGGATGCTCAAGTGCCTAACGAGCAATTTCTTGTTCTCATAAATGACATGCTTGCTTCCGGCGAAGTGCCTGATCTGTTTCCGGAAGATGAGGTGGAAAATATTATAGCTGGTTGGTGATTCGTTGTGACTAAGATACCCAAGGACTTTACTCCTGCGAATGGTACAAGGGAGATCTCGTGTGTTAGGTGTCCGTAATGAGGTAAAGGGTGCAGGTATCCTGGATAGTCGTGAAAATTGCTGGAAATTCTTTATCGACCGTGTTCGGCGACAACTCCGAGTAGTCCTGTGCTTTTCGCCAGTTGGCTCGACCCTGAGAATTCGATCAAGAAAGTTTCCAGCGATAATAAACTGCACGGCTATCAATTGGTTCCACGAGTGGCCGCAAGAGGCGTTGATGTCCGTGTCGAAGAGATTCCTCCAGGAGTTAAACGAACTTCCGGAAAGTTATAGGTATCCCGGCAGCTTCTTGTAAATCTTGAAGAAATATATAAAAACATTAATTACAGAGAGTCAGCAGCAAAGTTTATGGCGCACGCTCACACGAGCGTCAATTCCGCCAGTCGCCTTTACTTGAGCAGCGAGAGACGTTACAATTACACCACTCCAAAATCATTTCTAGAGCAAATAAGTCTCTACACGAAATTGCTTGGCGCCAAAGCCAAGGAACTGCAGGGTCGCGTGGAGAGACTTGAAAATGGTTTGGCGAAGTTGAGATCGACAGCTGCGCAGGTTGATGAACTCAAAGAAAAATTGGCGGTGCAGGAAATAGAGTTGCAGCAAAAGAACGAAGCAGCGGATGCGCTGATCGCCATCGTGGGAGTGGAAACTGAGAAAGTTCAGACTGAGAAAGCTTTAGGTAGTATCGGGATCGCATGAGAGATACGAAAGTTCGAGTTTTACAAATCGTAAAATTGCACCGTGTGATTCTTAGCTGACGAGGAGGAGTCAAAGGTCGCCATAATAGCGGAAGAGGTCTTGAAAAAGCAGCGGGACTGCGAGGTCGACCTGATGAAAGCCGAACCAGCTCTGCTAGCTGCTCAGGAAGCACTGAATACTTTAAACAAAGCGAATCTCACGGAATTAAAGTCATTCGGTTCGCCACCGGGTGCTGTGACTAATGTCACTGCGGCCGTAATGGTACTTTTGGCACCAAACGGCAAAGTACCCAAAGACAGAAGTTGGAAAGCAGCCAAGGTAGGGTTATTTAATATTATAGTAGCAAGTGCAGTTAGTAACTAGTTAGCCACCGTGTATACGAAAACTTAGAGCTTGTTCGTTTTCATAAAGGGTCTCGTATGACGCAATTAGAATGATCTAATTTTGAAAATAACATCGAAAATATTTGTACAGATCGTCATGGCGAAGGTCGACACTTTTCTTGACGCTCTGATAAATTACGACAAGGAAAACATACATCCTGAGGTAATAAAAGCGATTCAACCTTACCTCAAGGATTCCGAATTTGAACCCGAATTTGTGAGATCAAAATCTGCAGCGGCTGCTGGCTTATGTGCTTGGGTAATAAATATCATTAAATTCTATGAAGTCTTTTGCGACGTGGAACCTAAGCGAAAAGCTCTGGCTCAAGCCAACGCCGAATTAGCCGCGGCTCAAGATAAGCTTGGCGTTATCAAACGAAAGGTTGCCGTAAGTAATAACTTGGAGCTTTTTCTCGATACCGAAGTAATCTGCCAAGTCAATTACATCAAGTTCTCCGTCTCTTTTGTATTCTGTCGTCATCCAATTTTTCTTCTTTTTTTCTTTCTCTCTTTCTCTCTCAGTCCTTGGAGAAGCAGCTGGCAAAGCTGACGGCTGACTTTGAGCAGGCTACGGCTGAAAAATTGAAATGTCAAAAAGAAGCGGATGCCACCAATGCTACGATCGAATTGGCCAATCGCCTTGTAGGCGGACTGGCTTCAGAGAATGTTAGATGGGCAGATTCCGTGGCTAAGTAGGTCTGACAATTTTTTTTTATTTTTCCCAAATAAAGGCCGGCATCGATATTCGTTGATTTTCAGCTTCATGCAACAAGCATCCACTCTGCCTGGCGACGTTCTTCTTGTAACTGCTTTTATCTCCTACGTGGGATGCTTCACGAAACAGTTTAGACTGGATTTATTGAATAAACAGTGGCTGCCATTTTTGCGCACTTTGGAACCAGCTGTTCCTATAACAGAAGGCTTGGATCCATTGTCATTATTGACGGATGATACACAGATTGCTAAATGGAACAACGAGGGTTTGCCGAACGATAGAATGTCCACTGAAAATGCGACAATATTGACCAATTCTGACCGTTGGCCTCTGATGATTGATCCTCAGGTACGAAGAAATGACTTTCAGTAACTCAAACTCTCGTTTCAATTTTCATTTCACAGCTTCAAGGTATAAAGTGGATAAAACAAAAATATGGTGAGGTGCTCAGAGTCATTCGTCTTGGGCAACGTGGTTATCTCGACGTGATCGAGCAGTCATTGGCTATTGGGGCTACTGTTCTCGTGGAGAATATTGGAGAAACCGTTGATCCGGTTTTGGATCCTCTATTAGGACGAAATCTCATAAAGAAAGGAAGGGCCATTAAGATTGGCGATAAGGAGGTCGAATACAATCCAAAATTCCGTCTGCTCCTTCATACAAAACTTGCGAATCCACACTACAAGCCCGAAATGCAAGCTCAGACAACCCTCATAAATTTCACTGTAACCAGAGACGGTCTGGAGGATCAATTGTTAGCCGAGGTCGTGAAAGCTGAGAGGCCCGACCTTGAGGAATTGAAAGCTGAGCTTACGAGGCAGCAGAATGACTTTAAAATCACTTTAAATAGTCTGGAGGACTCTTTACTCTCCAGGTGGGAATCTTTAATTGGATTACAAAGTTCAGGCGAAAGTCCAACTGAACCGTTTTTCTCAAAGGCTCTCCTCGGCTGATAGTAACGTACTGGGCGACACGGTCCTGGTCGAAAATTTAGAAACGACCAAGAGAACCGCTGCTGAGGTCGAACGTAAGGTTATCGAAGCTCGTGGGACAAGTCGAGAGATCGATGCTGCTCGAGAGCTTTATCGACCAGCCGCTGCCAGAGCATCTCTTCTCTACTTCATCCTGAACGACCTCAACACCATAAATCCCATTTACCAGTTTTCCCTGAAAGCCTTTAGCGTCGTCTTCCAAAAAGCTATTTTGAAAGCCGATCCCGCACCGGACGTCTCTGCCCGAGTGAAGAATTTGATCGAATGCATCACATTCTCGGTTTTCATGTACACGACCAGAGGACTCTTCGAGTGCGACAAATTGATCTTCGCCTCGCAGATGACCTTTCAGATACTCTTAGCCAGAAGGGAGATCCTGGCCTGCGATCTGGACTTCCTGTTGAGATTTCCGATCACACCCCACGTCACGTCACCAGTTGACTTCTTATCGAATTCCAGTTGGGGTGGAATAAGGAGTCTCGCAACTAGGGATGATTTTCGGTAAGTGCTCAACTTTTCTGCCTCAAACTGTTCAATGGGCGGATACTTGATTTTCATAAAGAGTAATGGGACTGAGGATCATCCACTTTTCTAGAAACTTGGACCGAGACATAGAGAGCTCCCCGAAGCGATGGAAGAAACTGGTCGAGTGCGAGTGTCCAGAGAGGGAAAAGTTTCCCCAGGAATGGAAGAACAAAACAGCCCTTCAACGTCTCTGCATGCTGAGGGCTTTGCGTCCAGACAGAATGACTTACGCCATTGCTGCCTTCATCGAGGAGAAACTCGGTCCAAGATACATCGAGGGGAGGACGGTGGAATTTGCAAAGTCCTTCGAGGAGACCAGCCCGTCGACTCCGATATTCTTTATACTGTCACCAGGAGTCAATCCTTTGAAGGTGCTTTTACTAAGTGATACGGAAGATCCACGATAAAAGCTTTTCACGTAATTCTTTGTCTAGGACGTCGAGGACCTAGGCAGACGGTTGGGCTTCACCCTGGACGCTCAGAACTTCCACAACGTGTCCCTTGGTCAGGGTCAGGAGATTGTCGCCGAGCAGGCTATGGACGAGGCTGCGAAAAATGGACACTGGGTGGTCCTTCAAAATATTCATTTAGTCAAAAAATGGCTGCCGTTGTTAGAAAAAAAATTAGAAGTCGCCGCAGACGGTTCTCATCCTGATTACAGAGTCTTCATGAGTGCTGAACCTGCGAGTACACCTGCCGGCCATATTATTCCTCAGGTAAGCATACCTATATTTTTTGCCAAGTTTTCAGATTATAAGTAATACTTGACCTGTATAGGGAATTTTGGAGTCCTCGATTAAGATCACAAATGAACCACCCACGGGAATGCAGGCAAATTTGCACAAAGCATTGGATAACTTTAATCAAGAGACATTGGAGATGTGCAGCAAGGAGGCTGAATTTAAGGGGATTTTATTCTCCCTCTGTTACTTCCATGCGGTTGTTGCTGAACGTCGAAAATTCGGTCCACAAGGGTGGAACAAAATTTATCCATTTAACGTCGGTGACCTTAATATCAGCGTAAGCGTTCTCTACAATTACTTAGAAGCCAGCCCTAAGGTCCCTTGGGAGGATCTCAGGTATCTTTTCGGGGAGATCATGTACGGTGGCCATATAACTGACGACTGGGACAGAAGACTCTGTGTCTCTTACCTGGAAGAATTGATGCAGCCTGACTTGATCGATGGAGAACTTCAATTGGCTCCAGGTATGATTAGATTATTTTTTCTTTTTTTTTTAGAAAATTATTCATTTTTTCCACCTTAAAGGATTCCCCGCTCCTCCCAATACGGACTTGGCTGGCTATCATGCTTACATTGACGAAGCAATGCCTCCAGAATCTCCATACCTGTACGGCCTGCATCCAAACGCAGAAATAGGTTTCCTCACGACAACCTCAGAGAATTTATTCCGAACGGTTTTCGAGATGCAACCAAGGGACGCTGGAAGTTCCGGTGGACAGACGGTGACGCGAGAGGATAAGGTAAGGAAAGATAAAAAAACGAAGATCCATCCCACTGTCACAATTGAACGGTACCAAATGCTAGGTCAAACAAATTTTGGACGAAATAATGGAAAAGCTTCCGGAAGAATTCAATATGACAGAAATAATGGGAAAAGTGGAAGAACGGACCCCGTACGTAATAGTAGCATTTCAAGAATGCGAGCGAATGAATTATCTGACAGGGGAGATGAAGCGCTCCCTTCGCGAATTAGATTTGGGTCTAAAAGGTGAATTGACGATAACATCAGACATGGAGGACCTAGAGAATGCCATATTCTTCGACCAAGTCCCACCAGTCTGGGCCCAAAGAGCTTACCCCTCCTTGCTGGGTCTGGCAGCGTGGTTCGTCGACCTGTTGCTCAGACTCCGAGAGCTGGAAACATGGTCCACGGACTTTGTCGTAAGTTGCCCCAAGAAAAACAGCAGTAGAACGAAAGGTACCATCCATTAATATTCGACTAATTTACATCCATTAATCTTACCGTAAAGCTACCAGCTTCCGTGTGGCTCGCCGGCTTTTTTAACCCTCAATCTTTGCTGACGGCGATCATGCAGTCGACGGCACGGCGACACGAATTACCCCTCGACAAGATGTGTCTCCAGTGTGACGTAACTAAGAAAAACAAAGAAGAATTCACGTAAGTCTACCAGGCGTGCACGTCGGATAGCAACCTGAGACGCTTAATTATTAAATAAAATTTTTTTGAATATTTTCGACCACAGCTCAGTGCCCAGGGACGGGGCTTACGTTCACGGTATCTTCATGGAGGGTGCACGCTGGGACGTTCAGGGTGGAATAATCGTTGACTCCAGACCTAAAGAATTGTTCCCATCGATGCCGGTGATCAACGTGCGCGCCATCACGCAAGATAAGCAGGACTTGAGAAATATGTACGAGTGTCCTGTCTACAAGACACGTACCAGAGGTCCGACCTACGTGTGGACGTTCAATCTCAAGACGAAGGATAAGCCAGCTAAATGGACATTGGCCGGAGTGGCATTGTTGCTGCAGACTTAAAAATAAATAAATAAATTTCAAATAAAATAATTATTCCCTATTACAATAGCTACCCGTCGTTTTAACGAGCACCGAATAAATCCAAGTGTACAGGATAGTAGCGAATGCACGGAGTAAATTGGTCCACAAATAGAGACGGCTGTTCTCCAGACGAATCCCCGAGGAGAAAACAATTATCCATTATCTGTTATAAGTCAAAACACAGAGAGACGCAATTCTCTGGGAAGATCGATGACTCGGGAGGTTGACGTAAACAAAGCCAATGTCTAACCAGCTACAAAATGCTAGAGAATTTAATTTATGAGCTACGAGAGTTCGGATATGTGGCTGAGCATGAGGGAGTGGATGCTGTTGGATAGAATAGATATAGGAGAGGAGGAAGGGAGGAGAGGAGGAAGAGGAAAGGAAAAAAGAAAAAAGAGCGCACGAGAGAAGATGTAAGATTTATCTGCCTCGGGGATACGAGGGCTTATGTATTGCGGCACTGGGATCAAAATTGCATCATGTTAGCGAAAGAAATTAGATTTCCTCCGTGCGTCTCGGATTTTAAGACGTGAAAGGAACGATTTTACAAAACAGAATGGATCCCCATCAAATATGCAGAGGCTATTATAGCCCTTAGTCGAGAAAGAAAAATGTTTGTGCTCCCCCTTTCGCTCCTATTTTTGTTCTCTTCTCTTCGAAAAGTTGCGTCTTGCGCAACGACCTCGGCTAAATTTTCACTCTACAAAGAAGGTATTCGGGGAGTCAATCGATATACGGCAAGGTTCGCCAGTTTATTAGCAACTTTAATGGCAGGCGGTAACAGTACACAACGCGACCGTGTTATATGTACATACGTGTGTATATACACAGTACATATTATATATCGATCGACTACACGCGATACTAAATTATTAGCTAGAGCAACGCACATCTCTACCAAGTATCACGTACGATGTATGCTGCTTAGATACGAGCAGTGAAGATATGCAATAATAGATAATCTGTCATTTTATTTTGCGATCGATGATTGGAAATGAGGTTTATAAATTATGAGAAAAATTAAATATAAAAATAATATGGATCGGTTAAGGAAGTGGACGGTTTAAAAGGGGGTGGTCAGGAGGCGATGGGAGCGAATGGGGAGAGAGCGAGAGAGGGTAGGATGATTAGCCAGGAAAAACCCCTGGCGATTCGTTCCGATCGATTGTCCGTATCATCCTGAATTCCGGTTTTCATTAGCCCCAGCGAGAGAGAGAGAGAAAGAGAGAGAGAGAGAAAATTGGAGTGGTATGAGTTTAGTGGCGCGGATCGAATATCCACTCATTCATACGTCACGGGGGAAGAAAAGGTTTTGGTTTCAGGGTTGGCGAGCAGCCGTGCGGTGGTGAGGTCGTCATGAATGCGATGAGAGATTTCAATATCTAATTGGACCTCGAATTCACGTTATACGATATCGCGAAGCCAGGATTGACGTGAACGCAGCAGCAGCCTATCCGACGAGGTTTAATTCAACGAGGGAGCATCGCTCACATGAAAATTCGTATTTTAATGAAACTTTTCTGGATTCCGTGTATAGAGATATCAGCGAGAAACGGCTGAGCTAATGGTTCCACGTATGTGTATATACATATATGCATCAACTCGAATCGGGAATATTAATAGACGGTCGTTAGCATGACAAATCGGTTGTCAGAACGACGTGTCACCAGAATGTCGAGAGTCGCGGAACTGATGACCTGCTGTGACGCCAGATGGACCGATCGAAGATCGCGATCGCATAAATAATAAACTCTCTATTGACATTAGGGTAACTGATACTTGGCTTCCCTGTACAATTTCTACCGTTTCCCGTGTATGCAGCTACCGCCGGTATGCACGTAGTCGTCAACTGTCGTAAGCTACCAGTAAATATGGTTTATGCGAAGTATGGACGCCGGGCGTCGCACAGCGTCACTGTTCGAAGATCGATAGAGAATTGATGGGAAGGAAGGTATATCGTTAGTGAAGTCAAGCTGAAATCGAAGGGAGGACAAAGGCGACGTCGACTGGAAGTAGTCGGGCTGCCTTATTGGATTGCAGTCTGTATAGCACCGTGACGTCGCGACGCCGTGACGAAGTGCCCTGGTGAATTTCAATCTTTTCAACTCGGCGGATCCCGGCCGATAAGATTCGGGACATTTGATGGACGTGTATGTAGCTTTTTTAGCATAGAGCACGTACGGCTGTATACGGATATCGATCATAGGAGGAATGAGAGAGAGAGAGAGAGAGAGAGAGAGAGAGAGAGAGAGAGAGAGAGAGAGAGAGAATAAGCAAGTAATAAAGGACAAGGAATAAGAATGCAAATAACGGGAGACTAATGTCACCTTTGTCCCGAGAAAGAGGCTTCATTTTTCATCTCTCCTGCCTACCGTATAGCTATGCTGATATAGAGTGTGTACACGTGGGAGCGCAAGGGTTGGTTAATCATTTTTAAAGGACCAGAAGCAGGTGGCCGGCTGTCATCGTAACGTCCTTATATTAAGCAGCCGGCTACGCGACGCGAGAGTAGGAATTAAATTTTCGAGGGTTCACGTGGTCCTCGAGCGACGCCATTGCTTTTGGGTTAAATAATGAAACGTTGTAAAGGGTGACGCGAATTTGCTTAACATGTAAGTGACATTTTTCATTGCTCTCTGACCGTCAAACGTCCAACACTTAATATGGCGAAACTACCCCTACCACTTATACCCTCGTCCATTTTACACAGGGAGGCTGTGTGGACCGCGTGAACTCCGTAACCGAGACTGCCGATCCTATTGGCACTTTCCCTGCTGGTCGCTCATGTCACTCCGAAACTCTCCGGGCACAAACAACCCTTTCGTGGCAAATTGTCAAATACACTCTCTCGCCGCCGCCATTGCTACCAGACAGAGAAATGGACCTCGAGGAGATCAAAGATGCTGGTCAAATCAACACTACGCATGACCTTTAGTCGGACTGTCACTAGGAATTTTGTCAACTGTTGACTGTCGTTGCGTTGTGAGTGAACCTTTATTTTTGACTCGAATCAATTTTCCTCCCTTGTGAGTAGCGAATACTCGAGATTTGCGAGAAATTGTTTATTGAATTGGTGACATAACAAGTGAATCTTGTTGTGGACTGTTAGTTACGGGGAAAATTGTATTTATTATTTGTAAGATTTAATTGATGCGGTTAATTGCGTTTGGGATTAATTTCAAGTACGGGGGACTAATAATTAATTGAAGATACAGTGGTTCCGAGATTTCGATTGATGGGTGTACCGGGAGTGAAATGGAACGGATAGGCACGAAATGGAAAGGCCATGGCTAATAGAGGTATTATGGTCTTTTTGAAGAGATCATATAAGATAAATATAGAGGGACCACACAAAGCCCCAATAACAGGAGCAGGATTACATCGTAAACACCGAAGACTGGGTATATGACACGTATGCTGTGTGTCCATTTACGTAATACCCGATTTTTAATATATGTTTGTACAATATTCGACCCTATATTTACCCCATAGATTTCAACTTGAACGAATAAATCCAATATTTTTTTTTTATATCTCAAAAAGAAAAGGTAAAAATTATAAGCACTATTTTGTTTAAAAAATTCATTTTTTTTTCAAATTGCTTCTTGTAATCAGAAGATAGATGTTCGTGAGGCAGATAAAAAAATCTAAAATCAGCTTGAGAAAAAGACGCCTTGAAGAAATACGAGCGAATGAAGATGACGCGACGCTACTGCTGCATCTCGTTGTGCAATTAATTTTATGACATAAGAGCATGGTCGAGATTACTAACGACGATGGACTTCATTAATCACGTTATTTTTACAGTAGATTAATTACTCAGAAAAGCGGTTAGAGTTCAGTACACTGTAGTTAGAAAGTCAAACGTCCATTGCAACGTTAATAAATAAGCTAAGTAGCATAAAGCGGAGGATGAACAACATAGACAGTTGGGTCTGAAACACGTGTCTTTGGCCTTGAAAGTTACTTATAGAAATATATCAGTATACCGTGTGTTCCTAAACTTCAAAAATATCCCACCCACACACCACTCGCTACTATCGGCATCGGTTGGCAGGAATCCTGGAGGATTCCCAGGATCGATATTCAGCAGGCATTGTGTCCCGGCGAGCTAACCGATGCGTGAATAAAATGTCTCAACAAAAGGGAAATCCGGCAAAGTTGTAAAACAAGTGTCGAGGACACTGTCCGGTTATCCTTGCAGATCCAGGAGGTTTCCGGAACAGGATATCTCGACTAGGGTGCGTCGACTCGTCAAGTAATTACCCCTTGGTGACGGTGGGTGGCTACCCTGCAGTTAACGTCAAAGACAGGACTCGAAGCAGAGAAGGAGATTTCGCAGGACCCAAGGATGCCTGGTTGTCAACCTAGTTAGGGTCCTTGCGAACTTTTCGTCGTGTCCTTGTTTCTCTAGGTTCATTCGAATAACTACGAGCATAGGTACAGTGAGCAAGTAAGGGTGGCTACATGCTACGTGCTACGTGCTACGTGCTACGTGCTACGTCGGAAATATCATTCAGGCTCGAAATTGGTCGTTTCGTTAAGGGTTGACATTTTGTCGCGTCTACAAGACGAGGACGTCCCTTTGAGGGCTCTGCCGAAATAGGAACAGAAGCAGCGCGTAACGGGAGAATATAAGGGAAGCGTAAGCTTACTAATTACGTCGAGTGTAATTAAGGAGAACGATCAAGGGCATCAAAAAGGCATAACGATAGGCATAAGGCAGTATTGCAAGTCAGAACTATTTTATTAAGAGAATCAAAGAGAAGAAGCGATAATGAGTGCCCTGTGAATCCTTAAGGGTTACAAGGGAATCCAAAGACATAAAAAGGGAACCACTGACCTTTGACCCTTCGCTGCTAATTATCTTTCAATAAAACCGAAATAAAAGTCTGACCGCGCATCAGTCTCACTCTCGTACTTTGGTAAGAGGCTTTGTTTTATTGCCAGGAATTATTCTTTTTAATTGAACGGACTTTTCTCGGCTACCAACTTCTCGACTAGAA